CGCAGCACAAAGTACTTCTCGAAGTCGCGCCGCTCGATGAAGCCGTCCTGGTTGGAATCAATGTCCCAGAAGACGTCCTCGATGACCGTGTCGCGGCTGCCCTTGACGCTGGCCAGTGCCGGTTTGATGACCCGCCTTTGGTCTCGGTCCTTCTGCACCTTCCTGCGGTACCTGCTGAGCTTCTGGATGCCCGTGGCGTTAGCCTCGTCCTCCTCGTCGAGGACCATCAACTCGCCCTCCGGCCGGCCCCGCTGACACGCCGCGCCTCGCGAATGAAGGGGCCGCAGAGGATCCACCCTGGCGCATTCGGTGAGGAGAAGACGCACGCGAGGCCGGCCATGTGCGTGGCGGAAAGGGTGCAGGGGAGCGACCCCAGGAGGGTCACGAAGTCGGTGCGCGAGATGACGCCCTCTCCCTGCGTGTCGAGCTGCTGGATGAGGGAGCCCAGGCCGATGCGGTGGCTGCGGACGGTCACGGCGATGATCTGAGGGCTGTCAGGGCCGCACCCACTCGGCTCCCGCCATCCACACGCGCCTGGCGCGACAGCCTTTCTGGATGTGCCGCATCGAGACACCCTCTTCCTGGCGCCAGGGCGGTCAGCAGCGCACTCGACTGGTGCAGCCGATGCCGCTGCAGCAACGAGGAGGGGGGGGTCCTCTCCCTCCTTGCCGAGCTCCTCGAGGACGCTCTCGTGTGCCGTGTGGCCGCCCTCGATTACCATCTGCGTCAGCTCGTCACCGATGGCCAGCGGGATGAGCCATTTGTTCACGAAGGCGCGTGGCAAGGCGGGAGGGGGCGCGCCGGCGCCCTGCCTGACTGGCCAGGCCCATCTGTTGGCCTGGTCGCTGGCGGCTTCTGCGTCGGGTGGCGGGGGCATGAGGGCCTCCTTGAGAGCCGTGTCGACTGCGATGTGCAGGTCAGTGAGGGCTCGGGTGACCTTCCGCGCCTCCTCTTGCGAGGGCCAGTCGCGCAGACGCGTCAAGCGAAGCTCATGGCGCTCGTGAGGTCACTCAGCCTGCACACAGCGACACCCAGGCACTCAATCGACACTGACAGCCGTGTTTCAGATCTCTCACTCTCACTCTCACTCACCGTCTGAAGTCGAAGTAGAGCTGCTGGTCGGCAGCCGCCCTGCTGCTGTCCTTGCCGCCCTCGGGCGCCATCCACTCGAGATCGCCGCCCTCCACGCCCCGCACCAGTCTGTCGAGCTGCTCACCCACCTCTACAGCACCGTCCGCGTCGCCACGAGCCAGCGAATACGACACGTCACTCATTGCAGACGATATGGCTCCCCACAGCGCGCCATAGGGGGTCGAGAGGAAGTGCCGCACGATACGCGGCAGGGCGCTGAGGGCCTTTTGGTCGAAGGAGGCTGGCACTGGGGAGGCGATGGCACGTGTGGCGGCGGTGTTGGCCTCGTTGTCAGCCGGTGGCAGGTGGGTATGGGTGTGGGTGTGGGTGTACTGCTGCTGGTGCTGCAGCTGCTGGATCTGGCTGCCCATCATCTCGATCTGCCGCGCCATGGTCTCCCTCTCGGCCAGTGCCGCCTTGAGCTGCCGCTGGAGCTCTCCCTCCCCTCTCCCTCCCGGCCTCATCAACCGCCGCCATCCGCTGCTCCTGCCCCATCTGTGAGCCGCCTACGACGGGATGGCGACGGCTTCTGGCGTCGGGTCTTCTAAACACCAGGCATTGACATGCGGGACTATGATGTTGGCTCGGTTGGCGAGCCGGAGGGTGATGCAGGTGGCGGAGCGGGTGAGCCGGAGGGTGACGATGATCCGTCGGTGTCGGTCGTCGGTGGCGTCCTCTCGGCAAGCACCTTGCGCACGGCTGAGTGAGGCACATGAATCCACACAGAGACAGTGAGCAGGTTGGTGGTGGTCCAGTGTGTGTGGTGTGGTGTGGTGTTTGCCGCTCCATCTCTGTACCTGCAAGGGTCTTCGCGCAGTAGTCGCGTGCCGCCTGCTCCAGGCGGTCTGCCGTCTTGCTCTGCCCGAACACCGCCACCTTCATGAACAACTCCAAGGCGGGCATCGTCACGCCTGACAGACGGCACTCTCCTTTGGCCGCGTCGTAGGCCTTCTTCGTGGTCGCCCTGTAGGCCGTCTCCACCTCCTCTGCCGTGACGCTCTTGGCCCCGCACTTCCTGAAGAGTGCCGTGATGTCGGTCTCGGCCTGCCGCAGCAAGTCGTTCACCCCGGCAGTGACGGGCAGCGCCAGCAGCAGGACCATCCACGCCGCACACAAGTAGTCGTAGGCGACGGTGGTGGTGGGGAAGGGCGGCAGAGCGTCTCCCTCGCGGTGCAGGATGGTCTTCATGTGGGCGAGACTCACCAGGGGCGACGGGGGGACAGTGGTCACGGGAGGAGCCTCACGCGTGGTGGTTGTTGGGAATGGGGCAGACAGGAAGCCGGCGCTCTCCATGTCGATCATGGCCACCTCGCCGTTGCGGCCTCGCAGCAAGATGTTCTTCCAGTGCATGTCGTTGTGGCTCAGGCCACGAGCATGCAGGGCCAGCATCTGCTCGATGGTGTTGACGGCGATGATGGCGTCGAGCAGCTGGTCGCGTCGAGAGGGGTTGCTGACATGCTGGTAGACCGAGATGGCTGCAATCAATTAGCAAAATACACCCACAGACACATCAGTCAGATGTGGACGTGTTCTTCCTTCCTCTCTCTCCCTGCGTGCCTGTGCCATACGTACCATCGCCTATCTTCTCCATGATGAGGCAGATGCCATCACCGGCCGTCTCGACAGTCGCCTCTATCTGCCCGTCCTCACCCTCACCCTCACCCGTCACCACGACTATCTTGGGCCGTAGCCGGGGTGCGTCCGCGACCACACCCAGCACAGCTGGCGCCAACAGCAGGCTCCCGTCGCGTGTGAGCGCCCCACTGTCCCGGTCGAGCCGCAGCTGCGGTGGTGTTTGCCGCGTCGCGGAGCCGGTCGGCTTCCCACCTCAGCCGCTTGACGAGGTCGACCACCTTCTGCCGCTCCTCCTCCCCCACCCTCGTCAGGACTTGATCCGCCTCACTCGAGACGAACTTGGCCACGGCCTCCCGCTGCTCGGCTCGGCCCCCTTCGCTGCTCACCAGCAGGCCCGCGAAGACCTCGAAATCACCCCTGCCCTCGCCCATCTTCCTGGTCGGCTCGAAGGCCATCTCTGCCGTCAGCTGCACATGTGTGCTGCTGTCGTCGTCAGTGGGCGACGTTGGCACTGGCGGAGGCGATGGTGGGGGTGATGGTGGGGGTGATGGTGGGGGGATGGGGAGCTCCGCTGATGGCTGCACGTTGTGGCCTCCGACTAGAGGGCTAGAGGGCTGCTCACACAACTCTGAACGGAAAGAAACACAACCAAGAGACAACGATTGGTCAGGTGTTGACTTCCTGCTGGTTTCCAGTGCATCCACCCCTTGCTGACCACTCTCAACATCTACACAATTGGCAGGGAATGCTCTCCCTCCTTCGGCGGCTCTCTCGGCTGTCTTGCCCTCTTCTGCCCTCTCCCCGGCGTCTGCACTTGTCACTTCTCCCTCCTCTGCCTCTGCGTCACTGTGTTGTTGTGCGGCGGTGGCGCTGCTGTGTGGCTGGGCGGGGAGTGCGAAGGCCTGGTTGGCTGGGGCTGTTGGTATTGGTGCGGCTGATGGGTGATCGTCGTGAGTCCCTCGGTCGGCGGCCCTCTCCTCACCCTCAACATGCCCCTCATCCCCCCTCCTCACGTCCTCGTCGGCCCTCTCTCGGTGCTGAGGCTGCTCATCGACGGGCCCGTCCTGGTGCAGGTCCGCTAGCTGCCGGTCCTGCCGGGTGGGCGACTCATGGCCATCGTTGTTCAGCCCCTGGGGCACATCTGTCGCTTCATTAGCGTGGGGCTCCTGTTCCCTCTCCTCCTCACCCTCCCTCCCCTCTCCCTCCCTGAAACTCGCCGCAGATTGCAGTGGTGGCATGGCGGTGGGGATGCCTGCAATGTTAGGCCGTGCCGTTGGCCTGTGTGGCTGCGGCGGCGGCGCTGCTGGGTGTGGGGCGTAGACGGGGGGCGCCATGGCGGCTGCTGGTGGTAGGAAGCCCCACCCAGAGTTGAACGCGGCTGGCGGGACTGCTGCAGTGGGGATGGGCAGGGGGGGATGCAGCAGGTGCGTCGCGGCCAGCACGGCGTGTGACGGCGCATGGCGGGCATGCGCGTCCATGGGCGCGGTCGCACCCTCCACGTTCTGCCAGGCCCGAAGGCAAGGCGGAACCGTGAAGGGGTTGACTCGCGACTTGCAAGGCCACGTGTTCCTCGGCAGTTGTGGCGGCTTGCGCGCAGGCGCCCTGTGGCGCTTTTGAGCGGGTATCCGCTCGAGTGGCCTTCGCGTGGGCACGGTGGGTGGGGGCGGCCACATCATGTAGGGGTGTTGCTGGAGGTGCTGATGCTGAGGCATGTGCGGCGGAGGGAGGCCGGGTGCCGCTCCTTTGAAAATGAAGTGCTGCTGCTGTTGTTGCACGTGTGATGAAGGCATCAGGCGTGGCGCTTGATGTCGGGATAGCGGAAGGGGGTCTCTGGCTTGAACTCGCAGATAAGCTCGCAGCCATGGGCTCGCAGATTGGAAGGAAGCTTCCCGAGGAAGCTGTACCGCGATTCTAGGCCGCCAACAGATCGCCAGCAGCAGGTCAGTGCATCAATGAATGGATGGATGGATGGATGGATGGATTATCAAGATAGACTCACTCGCCGACGTCTGCGTGTCTGCGGTGTTTGCAGGTGTGGATCGGTCATCAGCGAACATCACGGCTCTTGCGGGACATTGCGATACCAGGTGCAAAAAAGTACGATTTGTTTGAGAGCACCTGGTCGCATGCCCAATGTCCGTCTATATTGCCATTGCTCCTCAGGCCACCCACTCCTGACGCCGAGCAGCAGCTGTCCAGAGATCGCTATCCCCCTTCTAGCATTCGAGGAGAGAACGAGCATGGAGGTGCTTACCGTCGACAACAATCTCGAGGAGCTCAGACAGCGGGCGAATGGGGCGACCTTCAGCGTACGACCACTGCCCGGCCACGGTCTGGCATTCATGTGGCCGCCGCACCCTCGGCGCGGCAGCATGATCGTCGCTGGCCTTGTCTATGGTCGCGTGGACCGACAGCCGCATGTCGTTCTTCCCCCACTGCACCACTCGCCGTTCCTTCGGCCTCACGCACCCATTGGCGCCCCGCCGCCTCATGCCGGGCCACGGACGAGTGACGGCAGAGCCATGCGGCCTCCCATGATGCGTTTGTTGGGATGGACAGTGGGCCAAGAGAGAGGAGGGTCCGACGGCAGAGTGGAGACAAGGGACAGAGGGGACTGATTGGGAATAACGGGCGGTCCGAATTAGCGGCGTCGGTGATATCTGGCGATCCTGCGCCTCGCCCGCTTCTCATCCTGCAGTCGTCTGGTGGTCGACCTCGCACTCGGTGGGGCAAGAAGTGCACACGCACGCGGCATCCCATCCCGCTCCCCATCCTATTGTGTCTGCCTGTGTGCCACAGCCCCTCAGGCTTGACCAGCTAGTTCATGTTTCTTGGTGCTGCCGCGCCTGATCCCTGGCCACGACAGCGATAACGCCATCAGCAACGGATGAGCGATGTGGGGGGAGAGTTTTCTTCTCGTCCCTCGTATGTTTGGCTGGGTAAAGGAATATGGATTCTGCGTGAGCTTGTTTGTCTTGTGGTGTATACGGCTGTGCGGTACTGGGCTACCTGAATCATGTCGTCTGAAAGTGAAATCAACATTCATTTGCATCGATCTCCCTTCCAGACGAGTCAACGCCTCCATTCACCACACATGCATACATACACTCACGCGGGAGGGAGGGGACCGGTTGGAACCTTCGCTTGTCTTTCTTTGTGCTGTCTATCTGTCTGTCTGTCTGTCTGTCTTGTGTTCTTGTCTACAACGTGTGTCGAAAATGCGTCGAGGGACATGACATGATGGGTGTAGGGTGAAGTGATTGACTCGTCGAGGGCTGACAGTCACTGTGACGCTCAGATGACGATGGTCAAGAGGTGAATAGTGAAGACACTGCAGAGAAGCTGGATGAACGAATGAACGAAATGTTTGTGTGTGTGTGTATACACATGATCGATGTGTACACATGTCTTTGTTCGTCCGTCATTGCAGATTGCTTAAGACCCCTCACTGCGGGTCATTGCTGTTTGTCTGGGTTGCAATTGCAAGAAGCAGGACGCCTCTGAGATGACCATGAAGGGCCTGCTGTTGGCTCTCATCGTCCTCTTGGCTGTGATTCGCAACGTCAGATCTGACTTGCCTGTCCACTGCCTAACCAGCGACGTTGCTGGTCTCTGGCGGTTCTGCCTTGACAGAGACAGAGACGTCCAGCTGCCTCGCTGTGGGAGCGACGTGAGTGAATGACTGAGAGGATTCACCAATGAGAGAGACACAATGCCGCATCTCTCTGTGTGCAGACTCCCAACACCAATCTGGGCAATCTGCGCCTGTCGGTGAGTCAACATATGAATGAGAGGACCAGAGACATGCACTTGCTAGCCTATTTTCTCCTCTGTGTGTGTGCAGAATCACTCGTCGTGGCTCGAGGCGAACCGTGGCGGCGTGGGTGAGTGCGTCACTGTACACCTGACAACAGACGAGGCGGCTGACGGAACGAGCGGCCGTGAGGACTGGAAGCGGCTGGTGGTGAGGGATGGCGACAAGACGAGCGGTGACATCGGCAGATGGACAATGGTCTACGACGAGGTCAGCCGAATGAATGGATGAATGGATGGATGGATGGTCATCAATCTCATGTCTCCGTGGATGTCGTTTATCAGGGTTTTGAGGTGCGTCTCGACAATGGCCGAGTGCTGTTCGCCTTCAGCCACTATGCACCCACGTCTGAAGCCAACTGCCCTCCGCCGCACAACGGACAAGGTACTTAACCAGCCAACCAGCCAGTTGGCCGTTGACACACACGTGCATCTCCCATGTGTGTGTTTCCATCTCACAGGTGAAGACAATCACGGCAGAAGTCAGTGCTACGTCTCCCAATGTCACAGGACACAGGTCACACATGCAACACGAGCACACCCACCCACACACAAACACGACTAGTGTGTGTTGTGTTATTGCACAGATCGGCTGGCACAGTGACGCGTCTGAGTATGGCTGCTTCGTCGGGTCCAAGCTCAGCAGCCGCACTCCCCGCCCACCTCGCACCACAAACTATGTGCGCCACATCGCCCCCTCAGCCGACAGCACACAACCAGACAGTGAGGGCGACGCCAACACGCCCACAACAACAACGACAGCACTCGACACCGGCGTGTGTGCCTCCCGCCGGCCCATGTTCGTGAGGTACCACCACCACCCGCCCAGTGACGACGTCATCCCGTCCTCGTCTGCCGTGCGGTTCGCCGGCAAACCCGGCCGCCGACCCACCATTGGCTCCGTGCTGCGGCGAAGCGGTGGGGTGTCCTTCCTGCAGTCACGTGCGCTCTTTGCCAGCAACTTCCCCTGCCCGTCGGCTGCCACCTCGACACCACCCACGACAGAGACGCGAGGCGGCCAGCACGAGCTGCCGGCGAGTTTCAGCTGGGAGGGCGAGCTCGGCAGGGACGATGTCATCAACCAACAAGACTGCGGCAGCTGTTACGCCATCGCATGCGCATACGCCCTACAGAGCCGCTTCCGTATCGAGCTGAGCCGCCGTGGTGTGCGTGACGTGCCGGTGCAATTGTCTGCCCAGTCAGTGCTGAGCTGTTCGCCATACAACCAAGGCTGCGACGGGGGATACCCATTCCTCGTCGGCAAGGTCAGTCAGTCCCCTTTGCTCACTGACATCCACTCGCTCATTATTGTTGTTGTGTGTATGTGTCGAGCAGCACGCGTCAGAGGTGTGTCTGCAGGAGGAGAAGTGTCTGGGCTACGCCGCCACCCACACGAGCGTCGCCTGCCCCACCTCTCACACGCCACTCAGCGACGACTGCCGATCGCTGTGGTTCGCCAAGTCATACTCGTACGTCGGTAAGCAAGAGAGCAAAGCCGTCCACACATCACACACAGATCGGTGGATGTGGCTCTTTCTTGTTTGTTGAGGTGGGTTCTACGAGCACTCGAGTGAGGATCGCATCAAGGCAGAGGTGTTCCACCGCGGCCCAGTCGTGATTGCCATCAACGCGCCAAAGGCCCTCTCTGAGTACCGGCAGACGTCGGCAGTGTTCGACCGGCCGCCGAGTTTGGCCGAGGACGGCGGCAACTACGGCGTGTGTGACGTCGACAAGAAGGGATGGAATGGATGGCAATACACTGACGTACGCAAAAAGACAATGCACACACACACAGACACACTTGTGTGACGACGTGTGTGTATGTGTGTGTGTGTGCTGCTGATAGCATGCTGTTGTGGTTGTTGGCTGGGGGGAGACGACTCCAGCAGCACACACCAACAGCAGCAGCTGCCACAAGTGTATGGCACCCACAGCAACACACTGGGTGCTTGTGTGTACTGTGTGTGTCTCTCTGGCGCATCCTTTCACACAGATTGGATCGTTCGCAACTCGTGGGGCCCTCAGTGGGGTGACAGCGGTTACTTCAAAATGTGCCGCGGAAAGAACCTCGGTCCGTCCGCCACACACACACACAACCACACACACACACACACGTGTGTGTGTGTGTGTGTGTGTGTGTGCAGCTGGTGTTGAGTCGCAGGCCGTGGTGATCGATCCCGAGCTCACCAGAGGCCGCGCCGCACAAAGTACACACACACAGCCGCCTGGTTCACACTCACACCCACACTCACTCTCACTGCATGGGTGTCTCTGTGTTTGTCAGTTCTTGCTGAGCGTGGTCTGGCCGAGACGAACAGCAGCAGCAGCACAGAGCAGGCCAGAGGCACGACAAGGCAAGTCAGCATCGGCTCGCGCGGGCAGATCAATTGACCGATCCATACGCTGACGGACTGACTGATCATGAGTGCATGACATACATCCAGAGAGCGGCTGCACCCATGAATGTGTAAGTGATTGATGAGATGAATGGCCATCGACACACGCAATACTAGCTAATGAATAGGGCGGGTGTCGCTGTAGATACTTGTGTCTCGCGTGTTTCAGTGGCCATTCAACCATATTTGTGTCTCTTGCCCGCCCGTTCCATTCGCACCCCAACCGTTCACACTCGGCCCTCCCCCACTCCCTCCCTCACTCGATGGATCCCTTCCCCACTCGCCGCTCCACCACTCTGCTCACAGTTCGATTTCCATACGTCCGCTGCCATCAGCAGCAGCGCCACCCTCCGCCCCACAGGTCACCATCTCGTTCTCGTCGCCCCAGTCGAAGCTGCCGGCGGCGAGTGCGTCAGCGTATCGCATCTGTGACTCCCAGATCTCTCGTGCGCGGGCCTGCATCACCTGCCACATCTCGTGCGGCAGGGGGCGGTAGTAGTCGGGATCGACATTCCAGTTGCGCACCAGGGGCTCGTCGCTGAGCCAGGCCTCGCCCATTGGGTCGTCGTCTTGCGAGAGGATGGACTCCTTGCGAGAGGATGGACTCCTTGCGGCCGAAGGATGAACCCGAACAGCTGCTCATGAAGGCGGCGGCGCTCGTGGCGGTGCGGCTCTTCTTGCCTGGGGGCTCGAGCATATCGGCGTCAACACCTGAAGACAACAGGGCGGGCAGACAGCGGGAATGCAGAGAGATCGGGACGGCTGGGTGATGTCTTGCGTGTGTACCGTCCTACAGCGACATGGCTCCGTGGTTGCTAGAGCAGATCTTCTTGGTGTCCAAGCCAAAAAACTGAAGGTACACATAGCCGCGATAGGGAGAGAGTTTTTTGGAGTCTCGCATTTATCTCTCTTTCTGTCTGTCAGTCACCTCTTTATTGAGACGATTGATGCCAAGGCCACACCCCAGCCCATGTGCGTAGGCATGCACCCCCACTCGCAGGTGGAAGGTGTCGTCTCCCTCCCAGTCGTGTCTCCGCTTCTTCTTGTTGTTCTCGTTGAGCACCACCTGCAGCTCAGCCAGACCACACCACACAAACACACACAACAGATACACGTGTGCTCGCAACACACACACACAGACGCTGGCCTGGATGGATGGATGGATGCATGGTCACCTACCTTTGCCGGCTGTCTTTGCGTTGACGTGTCTTTTCGTGGGGTCGTCTTTGCGGAACGAGCAGCTGGTAAACCTCATGATGTCCCTGACCTTCTCGCGGTACTGATGCGCCTTGTGCAGGACGCCCCTCACCTCCTCGAGCAGCGGCAGCTCGACGTACACCGCCAGGGCCGTGCCCTCATGCCAGTCGTGCTCGGGGCCTGTTGCCGGCCCCTTCATGCCTCCCGCTGGGTGCTCCGCGGTATTATTCTCCCCGCCGATCTTCTTGTTGCATCGCGTGTCGAAGATCTTGGTCAGCTCGATGAAGTGAGCCGGATCGAATCTGTCGAAGAGGCGACCCTTGTACACGCAGTTCTTGTCCTTGTCATAGCGGCGCTCCTCGAACAAACGCGACTCGTTGTCAGGGAATATGTATGACTTGCCGTCTTTGGGGGAATCGAAACGGTCATCGTGTGTCATACGTTAACTCATAGCGCAACTGATATCGGCCCGGGGGTTGCTTGGGGGTTAGAAGACGCTATGAAATAGCGCTTACTCGCTGCTGGTTGACCTGTCGATGAGAGACAATCAAAATTGAGTGACGACAAGCACACGAATCAAGTCGACCTGATGTCACGTCCAACGCAGGCACCTAGTCAACGGAGATAGGGGTCGATGG